CTCTCACTCACTCTCTCTCACTCTCTCTCATGCTCTCACGCACTCACTCTCACTCACTCACTCTCTCACTCACTCTCTCACAGTCTCACTCTCATACTCACTCACTCTCACTCACTCATTCTCACTCTCTCTCTCATGCTCACGCTCTCTCTCTCATGCTCTCACGCACTCTCACTAATTCACTGACACTCTCTCTCACTCACTCTCTCTCAGTCTCTCACTCACTCTCACTCACTCACACTCTCAGTCTCACTCTCTCTGTCTCACTCCCTCACTCTGTGTGTGTGTGTGTGTGTAGGTCCCAGTAATCAGAGCCGTCATCATTTGGAGTACAGAGCCATCATGCAGGAGATGTCACCCACAGCGTTTGGTAAGATCTAACTGCTACTACTGTAATACTGCTAATACTACTACTGTTACTACTGTAATACTATTACTAATACTGCTAATACTACTACTGTAATACTGCTAGACCGACCGACCGACCCGCTCTGTGTGACCCGCTCTCTCTGCTCTGTGTTCCAGGTCTGACGGACTGGGAGGACGATGAGATCTTGGCCTCGGTGCTGGCCGTCTCTCAACAGGAGTACCTAGACAGCATGAAACATCAGAGCTCCGCCTCCATGCATCGAGAGAGAGAGCCGTCACCTGACAGCAGCTGATAGCAACACACACATGATGACCTTTGACCCCCCCCCCCCCCTCCTGACCTCTGACCCTCAGACCAGGGAAGGAAATAAAACAAAGAAATGCACACTTGTTTTTTTCAGCAGACATTTAAACTCATCCGTACATCACTCGTCTTCTCGTTTCCTTTCCTCCTTTCCTCTCTTTCTCATACCGCCCATAACCCCCCCCCCCTCTTTCTCTTCCTGGTTACAACCCACATGGAGCTCGGTCTTAATGCTGATTTGGGATTAGTTGTGATTCAAGCTTTTATTTTGAAATTCACAGACATCAGTTTTAAATTTGAATGTGTTTTGGTTCCTGCTAGCAGGCTGTTAGCTCTGAGGCTATCGGTACCATTGGTTTCAATGAGGAATGCTAATCAGAACTGAAAAGACGTCCAGTATTTTAGCAAGCTAGCTATCACCTCAAGTCTTACTATGTTTTAAAGCTAGTTCCTGCTAACACTGCTAACTGGTTGGCTTAGCTTACCTCGTAGCCCCCCACTGGCGGCCATTTTGTGTCGAGCAACACACATTAGCTCTGCTTCGTCGTCTGGGAAGTAAAATCATACACTCAGCTCTGACCTCATGATCTGTAACACCTCTCTCTCCTTGTTGTCTTCATCCTCCTCTTCCTCAACACCATCATCATCATCGGACTTATTTAGCTGCATGTTTAATCGACCACGACCAACATCATCATAGAGAAAAAGCCACAAATAAAAAAAATAAAAAAGAGATAAAATGTGAGAATTGTCATACTTACCCTCTTAATGATTGATTATTATTGTTATTAATAATATAAGTTTGTTTTATTTTATTTTATCGTTTGGGATGAAAAGAACCTTTTTTTTTTTTTCTTGGAATAAAAAGAGGAAAAATGTTTCTGAAGAAAAATGTTTTGGAGATTTTTTTATTTATTTATAACACACTGAAGTTTGTTTATATTTATATATATATTATATATGAATATTATTTTACTTCTTCAGAACTTTAGTCTAGATAATCCAGAATAGATTCATTAATTATCAGAATTATAAACGTTTGTTTACATGATGACACTGTTGTGTTTTACGACAGAAAAACAGCAGGAATTATTTCCTCTATATTTAAATAATTATCAATAACATCAAACAATACTTTTACTTCATTTATATACTTTTGCTCAGTCAAGGCTTTGAACGCAGTAGTTTTACTATCACAGTGTGGTATTAGTACTTTTACTGCAGTTAAAAGTTAGAGTACTTCTTATTTTCACTTTCTTGTAAATTCTTGCACTGACACATTTATTTTGACAAGAACCGGAAACCGATCTGACCTGAATGTGTGTGCGAGAGAGAACGCGAAGAGCGCGCGGCACGTAAAGGAAACCGTTGGTTTATTTAGATACATCAGAGACTGTGTGTGTGTGTGTGTGTGTGTGTTAGTGTGTGTGTGTGTGTGTGTGTGTGTGTGTGTGTTTTGGGGAAACCGCCCTCCTCTTTCCCGTCATCATCATCTTCATCTGTTCACCGCCCTAAATTCTACGAATTCCTCTCGCGGGGATTTGAATATTCATGAGTTTTTAAGCTGAAAACCCGCAGCTTGAATCTGATTGGCCGGGACGGTTTCAAAACATTGAGCACACGTCTCAGCGCTGATTGGACAGAGGAGGGCGGAGTGGGCGTGGTCTGACAGAAGAGCATAAACAGTAACGTAAGAGTGAGGGAAGTCTTGTTTCCTTCAACGTTTAAACGGTTTACAGCACAAAGTCACGTTTACAGTCTAATTCTGTATTTACTGTTATTAGGTTTAAAAGCTGGAAACGTGAAGAAAAAGGTTTAGAAACGACTGACTGGAGGATTTCAACCGACAACAGGATGGATTCTACCGGATACAACTGACGAGATGTTGGAGAAAAGAGCCACGGAGCTTCAACCGGAGGAGGAAGTCCGAGGGAGACACGGTAATAAAATATTATTACGAAATATATCATTATTATAAAATATATTATTATTATAAATTATATTATATTATTATAAAATATATTGTGTTATTATAATAATTATTATATTATTATAATAAGTATTATATTATTATAATAATATATCATTATTATAAAATATATTATGTTATTATAATAATTATTATATTATTATAATAAGTATTATATTATTATAATAATATATCATTATTATAAAATATATTATGTTATTATAAATTATATTATATTATTATAATAATTATTATATTATTCTAAAATATATCATTATTATAAAGTATATCATTATTATAAAATATATCATATTATAAAATATATTATGTTATTATAATAATTATTATATTATTGTAAAATACATTATATTATTATAAAATATATTATATTATTTAAAATTATATTATATTATAAAATATATTATATTATTATAAAATATATTATGTTTTTATAAAATATATTATGTTATTATAAAATATATCATTATTATAAAATATATCATATTATTATAAATTATATTATATTATAAAATATATTATGTTGTTGTAAAATACATTATATTATCATAAAATATATTATGTTATTATAAAATATATTATATTATCATACAATATATTATGTTATAAAATACATTATATTATTATAAAATATATTATATTATTATAAAATATAAAACAAAGCGTGTTTAAAGGAAGCGGGTCAGAAGAGAAAGACGTCACTTTGTCTCCCTGCAGCTTTAATAACTAACTCTTAATTAAAGTTAGCTTAGCTAGCTCGTTTAGCTAGGCTACTGATGTTCTCTCTCTAGTGAAGGAACTGTTCTGACTGATGTTCTCTCTTTCTCTAGTGAAGGAACCGTTCTGACTGATGTTCTCTCTCTAGTGAAGGAACTGTTCTGACTGATGTTCTCTCTCTCTAGTGAAGGAACCGTTCTGACTGATGTTCTCTCTCTAGTGAAGGAACCGTTCTGACTGATGTTCTCTCTCTAGTGAAGGAACCGTTCTGACTGATGTTTTCTCTCTAGTGAAGGAACTGTTCTGACATGTTCTCTCTCTCTCTAGTGAAGGAACCGTTCTGACTGATGTTCTCTCTCTAGTGAAGGAACCATTCTGACTGATGTTCTCTCTCTCTCTAGTGAAGGAACTGTTCTGACTGATGTTCTCTCTCTAGTGAAGGAACCGTTCTGACTGATGTTCTCTCTCTAGTGAAGGAACCGTTCTGACTGATGTTCTCTCTCTCTCCAGTGAAGGAACCGTTCTGACTGATGTTCTCTCTCTCTCTCTAGTGAAGGAACCGTTCTGCAGTCAGTATCGTTGTGGTTCTCTGCTCGGCAGTGGTGGTTTCGGTTCCGTGTTCTCAGGCCAGAGGTTCTCTGATGGACTGCAGGTCAGACGACACATTCAGTCGGTTCTTCATGTTTAGTTTGTTTGTTTATGAAATAATATTCAAATAAACTTTATTTAAACAGCACATTTCTAAACAAAGTCCTCAAACACTTTTAAAGAGAAAGACATGATGAGTGTGAAGAAGTGAATACAGACCAAAATATATAATATAAATAAATGATATTAATATAACAATAACAAACTTCTCTCTTTTGGTCCCTCCAGGTTGCCATCAAACAGATTTCCAGAGACAGAGTTCAGCAGTGGGCCAGACTGGTGAGTTTATTTGTTCTAAAGAAGAACAAAGTAAATCTATTTAGTGGAGTCACTTCACTGAGAGTAGACCTCGGGTCAGCACTGCCCTCTGCTGGACTGACAGGTGAACTAGAGCCGTTAGTGGGGCCGGCCCCCTGTGATGTCACGGGTCAGTAAATGACGCTGCAGGATTTCCCCATCAGTTACAAACTCATTTCTTATTCATCAGAACTTTAGCTGGGCA